ACTTTTAAGATTTTTTTGTACTTATACTATTGATTTTTTTGGATATATCGTGTATGAGGGACCTAGAACCAACATTAATCTGTAAGGGAAAAAAGATTTAGCAATATATCTTTACGAATTCCATCAGGAGCGAGGGATGCCCGAGGCATGTTTTCAATGTTTTTCGCAGGGGTGAAGAAGACTCTTAATAAATTATTTTGAAAAGATTTTCAATATTACAAGAACCACCATTTATTTTCTGAACTTTGCAAACTAATAATCAAACTTAATTAATAGTGAATTGTGATGGTGATGGTGCAATGCCCCTCCCCGCCACTATAATAACACAGAGACAGGTAGTGACTTACCTATGGGTCATAGCTAAACCTAAACATAAAAGAACAACAACTGGGGCAGAATATTCGGCGCTTCGGCCTAAGGCCTCACCAAATACTCGGTATTCGGTATTTGGCCTAAAGTACTATTCGTTCCATCTCTAATTACAAGTATGTAGAGTCAGAGTCACTGTCAGGCACAAGAAGCTCATATATTAGATTGGCTCTCTGGTTCCAATCAGCTGATATTCATGGTTGCATGGTTGTCTTACAAGAGTCCTTACAAAGTGTAAGAAGGTTAATCCCAGTTGAATTCCTAATTGGCTCAATTATAAGCTAGTTAATTTTGTTTACGTTGCCGGAAAACAACTTTGAAGAGTTTGCATTTTTTAAGTTAGACTATCATGCTATACGTTAAAAAATGTTAGAAAAAAGTGTATACCTAACACAAAGAAATACTCAAGACATGGCGCGTGAACAACTTTCATGTTACTAAAGAACAGCTGGTCTGAGTTCAGTAACAAAGCTACACAGTACTTAGGCTTGAAACTTACAAAACTCATTGATTTCTAGTCATAATTTTTGTGCAACATTTCAAGCTCTTCATCTTTGAACACTACATACAGTTTAAATAGTAAGATTATCATATTTTGAAAAAGTCTGCATATTCGTTGAAAACATTACTACAAATATTTATCAAATACCAAATAACAAATTTAGAGCAATTCAAAGAGTTCAAACTGATTATACAGGAACTGTTGAATGGACTGTTTTATAAACAAACAAAAAATGCCCTGCTTGTAATATTTTTCATGAATAAACTATAGGTTAATCATAAAAAGTAGTACTGTATTATACTTTTAGTTGAGCAAAGATTTGCTAGAAAATTACAGCTACTTTAAAAACATTATTAGAAATACAAGTAACGTGTTGATTGCTTCCGCCATTTAATAATATTTACATTGTGTCACAGTTAGAGTTCTCAAAATAACAAAGCTCAGTTGTACCGTACTGACCATAGACATGTTGGCGATTGTTTTAGCTTACCAACATGCAAGAAACAAGATTCTACGAAGGGAACATCAGGATTCATCTTATTACATTAGCATTGAATAGTTTGTTTATTTTAAAAAACCCCACTTCCAAACCTTGTGTTATATAAGTTAAATACTTTTTCCAGAACAAAAATCAAAACTTACAATTTACATAGCCAGGAACATTATTCACAATCATCTGCCCGATTACTGAATCACCAGGCCTACTTCAGGTTCTGAAATTTAAACAAATTCTTCAGTGAGCGTATGTCATTTTGATTAATTTAAAATGTAATTAATTATAAATGGTTTTATTTTATTTTATTTATCAAAATGTCTGTAAGAAACTTGGAACACTTGGAAGACAGTTTGATATCTGAAATTAATAAAAAAAAGATTTATAAAGACTTGAGAATTTAGTGTTATGCATTTATAAGAAACAAAAATATTCAAAAATTATTCTTAGATGAGAACTTACAAGTTGAATACAGCATAAAACAACTGGATCTAAATTCCTCAAGCAAATCATTCAAAGAGTTCACCAATTCAATTTTCAATTTTGCTAATCAGTACTTTTTATTATGTCAATGCTTATTTATTATGAAACTAGCTTCATCCCAATTAGGGGGAAATATACTAAAAGGGAATAGCTACTCATGTTTTACTTACAGCAAAATTAAAATAAAGAAATTAAGCAGTGTTTTAATCTTAAGGTATACTAGAAACAGCATTCTTCTAAACAACCTAAACTAAAATTAAGTTATGAAGTATTAAGCTATCCTAATGTAAACATATACACTTGTTTATAAAATTAACATAATTTTTCAACTTTAGCTTTGCTAATATGGACAGATTTCCAGATACAATCAGGTACACATGAATGTATATTTTAAAAAAAACATCAGCTAAAACGCTAAAACAAAATCACACAATTGTAACCATACTAAACTTTACATTCCACTTTAACTTAATGCATTAAATGCAAATATATCACAGATATTATTAACAAATTTATAAACCTACACATACAATGGTAAAATCAACTTTGAAATGTTAACGGTTTGAACTACTAATGTAGCAGTGGGATATTTGTATTTTTTACATAAGAGAAAAACACAAAAAGCACCAAGATGCCTATGACAATATACAATATTATATATTGCAAGTAATACTGTACCACTCACAATGCATGTACACATACTGTGAAACCGCACCTTTGGGGATGATTTAAAATCATTAGGCCAAGTTCATTGTTCTAGGTTTCTTCTTCACTACAAGACATAATATGAAGTAAAATTAGCTAGCAAGTCTAGCCGACTTAGTATTCACTTGAAAGTTGATAAGCGATTAAATTTAAACACATACATTACCTGAGAACAGTCTGGGACATGTGCAACTTTGTACATGCAAATCTTAACAGTGATACAACAATATACAGTACATCTTTACAATTTCTGCATCAGGAGAATATCAAAATTGCGTAAGCTGTTAACGATTAAACACTGCTAGGCTTGAACTAGTTAAAATTTGGCACCTTAAGTCTTAGTTATGTTAAGAATTTAAATAATAAACATTTAATTTGTCTAAATTAATAACTTGATATTAGTGTATCGTTGCTAAAACGCTACATACATACTAACAAGTCACAATTAAAATTGAAAAGAAGGAAAGTTTTCAAAACACTTATTAGGTCACATACTTACTGAATATAAGTAGCTAAAAAAAGTTTTGATAACCCAACAAAGGATTTATTATTTTACTACAACATAGACCAGTTTAAAGCTAATTAGAATCCCTTTTGTTCTCAACATTGGTTATGTTCATCAAACTATACTCACTTACCTTGCAAGACAGATGATTTCCTGCATCAAAAAAAAATCAACAATATTTTCTAATTTTGTTCAAACAACATAGGTTTTCTGAATAAATATCACAAAAACAAAAAAACCACGTATACTTAACAAATTCGCTACCGCAATAGTAAACAAAATTTTCATTCATATGGACCAGCGGTCACATATGCGACGGCTGGTTGATTGGTGACGTCATATGATAGTTGGGAAAACTGTTCTTTACTTTGCTGCATCAATGTGTGTATGTATACTGTATATTTGCTGCATTATCCCATGTAGCTTTTATATTTGTTCAATTATAAACTGTTCTTGAAAAATCTGTTTTTTTTTACTAACTTTCACCTACAAACATAAACAAAAATATATATATGCGGCGTTTGGGCTATTTCAAGAAAATATAATAATTTTCACCATTGTCTTTGCTAGATTGGGTGTCCCAAATATGCGAAATTACAAAAGGTTATAAAAAATATAAAAAACAAGAATATGTTATTTACAAACAAGATTTCAGAGTATTACAAACTAAATGATTACTGTTTAACAGGTATTCATCCGTGGTCAGCGTGTACTGTTAACCAAGTGACAGCCAGTCTATGTGTAAGATTAAATTGTATACCTCGGTCCGTTACAATGATCGCGGCGTCGCATATGTGCAACGCTCGGTAGCGAACCTGTTAAATACAATAAAGGTTTTCTCTGTAACATCCTGTTTTAAGATGATGTACTTAACCGATTTTTATGATTGAGGTGTCATTTCAAAGGTTATGATCTAGTGCACCTATGAATAGTTAAAGCTAATTTCCTTAGGGCTTCGCCCCTCTATCATTTGATTTTTATAGAGTTTGCTATCAAAGATTCAGTGATGCTGGCCAACTTTCTTGATAACAGTTTGAATGTGAATTTAAATGTGAACAGCATATAATTCAACAACTGCTTATAATGGTTGAATGTTTGACCAGTGTCAGATTGTAACAAGAGACAAAACAGTTGATAAAAATAGATTTTAAATATGCTATTGTTTTATAACTGTAACCTGATTGAGGTAAGTAAATCACTCTTCAAGTTGTATATCTAAAAGAAATAAATTTAGTTTATTGTAAATTAGCAGTTGTATTTACCTTACAACTGGCTCATTACAATCTTTGAAAAATAAAAGAAAAAGTATGTTGCGTTATTTGTTTTTCTTCGGAATCTAATCCTAAAAAAATGTTCAATTTGCACACGGTCCCCACATACTCATTATTTAAATAACTACCATGAACCAAGTGTGACTGAAAAGATTGATCTGGAAGTAAAACATACTTTTGTAACCAAACAGATCTACTTTAATTAAATCATTTCTACAATTGTAAGAGTAAAGTAAAACACCAGAGAAGATCCTGATTTTGTCACACTTTTTTTCTTAGTCAAAATAAAAAGGTTACAATACCTGCAGACTGTCTATAGTGGTTCTTGATAATCCACCAGGACATCCTTAGGACCTGAAGATAGTATAGTAATACCGAAACGTGTAATCCTGTTGGATTATCAAGGACCACTATAGGTAGTCTGCACTCTGCAGGTATCCACTATTGTAACCTTTTTTATTTTTATAAAACACATACTTTCAGAATCATAATGTCTACAACCGCATTATACTAAGTCATGTACATACCTAATTTGGCTTAGATTTGTTAGACACTAATAATTTTCTGGAGGAATACAGTTTGAGTATATAACGGCTCAAACTCGGTAATCTCTTATGAAATTAAAATATATTTTTCTACACAAAGGAAATTTAAAAAATGTTCAACAAACACTAATGTTTTGAATCTTTAAGATTATTTTTTAACAAGTGTAACATGTTTAGAGACTAAAACAGTTTGTGTAGAGTACAAAACACTAAACTAAACATCCGGACAAATTCCACTTCTTAGATCATAGCTAATCTAAAATATTCAGCAAGACAAACCCCCTAGTTTAAGGTAAGTTCACTCAGAGAAGATCCAACATGAGTTGGGGAAAGGTTCGGGCTAGTCCTGTGCTGTGGTCGCTCGGTTGAGGAGAGCAGATATAGCATCATCTCGGCGTTGCTCCTCGGCTAGGCCTGTCAGGTAGGACGGAGGATCTAGTAGATCTAGAGCTTCACTGGGGGTAGACGGACCTACAAAAAGTCACCAACTAAGCTACAAAATTATGATAAAATTTATTTTCCTGAAATTACTACTGTTAGTATGGTGCAATACGGCATTAACTCAACATTCATAGTAAATTTTTCCCAAATGGTTCAATATTGTCATATTGTTGGGTATCATCATCATCATCATCATCATCATCGGGCAAACTTAGTCTGATTAGTGTCAGCCACTTTGGGTTTTTGCAATCCCCTGAAAGACTCTGTAAATTTAACCAAATATCTGCAAGCCTGATGAACTTGCAGATTCCCTTGATTTTTAATTAGATCTTCCTGAGAATTGTTTGTCCCTTAGTGTGCTAACCAAAGGAATCAGCCTTCACTTACTATAGTTTTTTACAGTCAAAGAGTAGATGACCAGCAGTCTATCCCTGAAGCCACATTTTCTGTATAGTGTGTCACCCACAAAGAGACCCGCTCTCCGAATTAGCTTTCTAAGATAGCACTGCCCTCCTACGATTAAATATACTACCTTGTAGTTATTGTTTGGTATAAAGCCACACAATTTTGAGTGCTTTGGTGTAAGGGGGGGGGGGTAATTTCAAGTAAAAATGAGATATTTGATAGTTACTAGTTACTTTTGTTTTATGATACAGATAGGCCAGTTATGTGGTGGAGGTTGATGATTATAGCTTAGTTTAACATACTTTGTATAGTTCCGGCACTTTATCTCGGTAGCTTGGATAGCATAGTACCGGATATCAAATATATTTACTTAAGTGCTTGGAAGGTATTTTATTAATCACACTCTTAGTAGTTCAATATATCTATCTATCTGTATATATATTATATATATATATATAAAACGTGAAACCATTTTTTGTTAACACAACTCCTCCCTTAGTTGTGGACCAATTTAAACTTTTAAGGTGTCAAAAGATTTGTCTCAGACACACAGACATCACTTTGAAAACCACTTTTTTGGGTCCAGGGGGACCCAAAACGAGTATATCCACTCAAAACTCAAACTCTAAAATTTTTACGAAAACAATACTTTCTCCATATACTATGGTATAGGGGGAGAAAGTAAAAATGAAAAGATAATGAGGTGGAAACTGGAATTGTCGTGCTTTCATTATGATATTGTATACAGACCCGGTAAAGATAATATGGCTGCAGATGCCTTGACTAGAGTATGTTCTTCAATCCAAAATCAAGAAAAACTGTTTATTGATTTACATGCCAATCTATGTCACCCAGGTGTGACACGTTTGTACCACTGGGTTCGGATTAAGAACTTGCCCTACTCGATTGATGAAATCAGACGAATAACAAACTCCTGCAATGTGTGTGCTATATCGATTTCAAAGGCCCGTTCCTTCATCATCGCTTTCCCGTGTTCAGACATGTCATCGTCAACAGTTAAGTCGAAACTAAAAACATTATTTTCTACTTTTGGGGTTCCTAGTTACATACATTGGGACAGAGGAACATTATTTCTGAGCCAAGACTTAAAAAGCTACTTGAACTCACTTGGAATCTCAACTAGTAGAACCACTGAGTACAATCCAGCATGTAATGGGCAAGTTGAAAGGTATAACGGCATTCTATTGAAAACAATTGAACTGGCATTGAAATCACTTAACTTAGAAATAAACCAATGGGAGACAGTTTTAGAGGATGCCCTCAGCTCAGTGAGATCATTACTTTGCACAGCCACAAATCAAACTCCTCACGAGCGTATGTTCTTACATCCACGTAGATCTGGGAACAATGGTGTTTCAGCTCCTTCATGGCTTCTCAATTCCGGCCCTGTCTACTTGAAGAAATTCAATCGTACGTCCAAGTATGAGCCACTTGTTGAAGAGGTCCAACTTCTTCACGGGAATGCCGAGTATGCTCATGTTAAGTTGCCTGATGGAAGACAAACTACCGTGTCTACACGTCATCTTGCTCCGGTTGGTGAGTACCAAACCGACATAGAGCAAACCGATTTTGAGAGTGATGAAAATACTCTATTACCCACTTCTCAACCTGAACCTGAATACTTTCCTAGTCCATCATCAACACAGAATCAAAAAGATGAAATGAATACTACTGCTGAGAATTTACAACCTAGACAAGAAGCTTCTAGAGGAGAGAACGATAACACATATCCAAGAAGAAGTTTCAGAAGTAGAAGACCTCCTAATTATTTAAACTAGATAACCTGTTGCTCAAAATCGAGCAAAACTGAAAATTGTATAAAAAAAATAAACATAAAACATAATCAGCAAGACCTTAATCAAAGAGTCACTCTAAAATAATTTATATGACTGATTATAGAAATATAAAAATGTTATGATGTAAAAAAATATAAAAGCAATCTACAATATTTAAATTTACATTCACTCTCATACATTCACTCTGCTTTGGTTATCTCTTATGTATAGTAGGCAGGTGCACTCTATGCAGAATACAAAATACAGAATACAGAATACAGAGTACTTTATTCGTGAGCATCAAGTACAGAATGGTGTCAATACAATTTTTTTTTCTTCTTTATTTTATTTACATTATAAGATTTTTAGTCCAATCGTAAATGGGGTCTTGCACGGGCCGTAAACTCCTCAAGGCTGTAAATTGGGTAGTCAGCAAGCATCTATGAGCACGTAGATGTCAACCACACACTGTAAATTGAGCTTTTGGCCTAATGTAGCTCAATTCCTCTCTTGACACCAACCATCGCTACTCTTATTCTAGCGTTGTTAAATTATTTCTTTGATGTGTTCTGTTTTAGGCATATTTAAATTAGGGGCCCCAACCCAAGTCTCCAGTTGGGAACATAAGAGGGTAAGCAAGTAGATCTAATGACAGATCTATAATGGATACATGTTTAACATTATTAGTGTTGGAAAAAACTATACGATTTATTTGGCCAGGTGGTGCTTTGTTTTCAGCTTTAAAAATTGCTGCGAAATCTACACAGGTAGCATCATTGTAGCGATGGAAGACACTTCTTCTGTCTCTTATTATGTACATAAGAATCTCACTTGACTCCTCGGAGCTCTCGTCCCTACATAATGTCTGCCATAGTCTTCAAAGATTTTCAAATGGGTTGGAACTGTGACCCTATTTCCCGCATATTTTTCAATGCATATTTTTGTGCTTAGTTCTCCTTTGGGTTCTAGTGACATTGTCGTACTTACTTATATATCTGTGCGTATTCAGGATCATCACCTTCTTGAGGAATTAGAGGACCCACTCGGTGGTAAAACGTGTCACGGATCTTAAAATTTTAGATCCCCTGTGGAACTTTCTCATCTTAATGACCTTTGGAGCTGACCATGGTAAAGGCAGAACTGAATTGACGAATTTTATCCAAATAATTTCTGGATATAAGTCTCACAGTCCTATTTTCAGATTGGGAGTTTCCAATAAGAACCCGAAGTTTATTGTGGTGAATTGCACAAATGAGGTAAACGAACCTGTCATTTATGGCAACAAAGAGTACAAACTTAACTGTCTCAGCCAGTCTTTTCTTGCTTAAAAATATGTAAGCCACTACAATGTAAACATTTAACGTTCATTTGTCCGAGATTGGACTATCACAACGGTGGTACTACCACTATGTACCCATAAAATGTTCAATTGAGAGGTTGATGCAAACAGTAGCTACATACCACCATCCACTGCATGGGCCTACTATCACTTACCGTACCTTATTTTATCACCTTGGCCACTGAAACCTCTAAAATGATCCTGGCCTTCTGGCTCTTCTATCCCCTGCCATTTCTGGATGACAGGAAGACAGGAAGATACCAGTCTGAAGATGTCTTTCATTACTTGGTCTTCCAAGTGGTCGTCTACCTTGCAGTACTCTTTGGAATACACTTTTAAAAGTTGAAGTATCTTCTCTCCGCCATGCAAAGCCTACCCAGCCCATCCGAGATCCGAGCCTTTTGGTCTACTTTTGGAATGTACCCCTTTATCAAGTTTCTGAATCATACAGTACTACTGGGATAGTTATGATATGGTATGAATCGATTTTGGTTTCTACTGACACCCTGCAGCTTACTGGTCAGTTTTCTGGAGGCCTACTACACCGGTTGATATTTTCATTACGAATAAAATGTGTACTGTATGCAGTCATACTTATATTCAAACATCTAGAAAAAGATGTGTCAACACGTAAACCACTTATATCTTAAAGGATTAAGCACTTATACTTAGACGGATTGCATGTATGACAAAACTTGATTATACGTTTAAAATGTTTAGTTCGAAATTACACAATCTCATGATAACATAGATCTTTTACGGTAGGTAATAAACTGCATTTTAAAGTGAAATAGTGTGTAGGCAAACTCTGGATCAATATTTTTGTATACAAACAACTTGTAACATAAACATTTCAATGACAGTTAGAAACCAGCTGTTAGTTAAACCACCACTAAAACGACTTTAACTCGTCCGTTGGCTGATAGACTTTTTGAAAATTAAAACTTAATTTCTAAAAAAACTGGGACCCTAAATTAAAATTATGGCTTCAACATTCCCCAGTTCTCAAAATTATCTTTCTTTCAACACAAAAATCATGAAAATCCGTCAAGTGGTTGATTCAGAATCGTGAAATACCATGTTTCGTTTTAATATTATAGATTCTTAAACACTTTGTTGTCTAACTCTTCATTATGAACCAGACTTAGTTAACGGATTGAAACAAAATATAAATTCCACCTTTGCTCTGGAAGTTTTGAGTCCTGCAGTCTGTGGTTAACCTTAAAAACTATTTCAAACTACGTCCATATGTTATTTGTAAACAAAGGGAAATAAGTTTGATCAAATGTCAACAGATAGCGCCGCCTTCCAAACTTTAGCCCTTAAATGTACTTAAGTGGTGCCCTTTCTAAATATTATGAGACGTATTTGCACATCTACGCGAAAATGCCTTTAGTTTGACACCTCAAACATTAAAATCCGTCAAACCGTTATCGAGTTATGACTGTGAAAAGAAAACTGCTTGCGTATTAATATATAGATGACTACGT